AAAGTAATTTTAAGTCAGACTTTGTAAATTTTTCTAATTAGGGATTTAGTAGTAAAAGGCAGTGGTAGTCAGACAGAGTGATTTATTAATTTCAAAATTTACGTATTCCAGTAGTAAAAACTAATTTGGGTCAGACAAAACGTTAAAGAATTTTCTTGTTTTACTCTCTAAATCTGAATTAGTAAAAATGTTTACTTATTTGTATTAGTGACTCACTTTTTGCTTTAGAATAAGTAAAATTTTACTAATTGTTAGTAAACCTTAATAATAATTAGTAAAATTTTACTAATTTAGAAGCAAAAAGTGAGTCACTAATTCAAATTCGTAAACATTTTTACTAATTCAGATTACTGCAGTAAAACCGCGTTACAGTGAGTCAGAATTTTTTGAAATTCTAGTAATTTATATATCAGTGGTGAAAAAAATTTCGATCAGACAGACTATTCAAAAATTGTTGACGTTTCAATAGTAAAAATTAGTTTTAGTAAGAAAAACAGACTTTAAAATATTTTTAAATATTTAAATATTTTAAATATTTTTATTATTAGTAGTAAAAGTGTGATATAGTCAGACAGAATTCATTTTTAATTTCAGTAGTAAAAGACAAATAAAGTCAGACACTTTTCTAATTTTAATTTTAATTTCAGTAGTAAAGGTCAGTTACTGTCAGACAGGGTCTTAATTACTAACATTTAGATATTAGTAGTAAAATTCTATTTTAGTCAGACAAAACGTTTAAGAATGTTACTTTTCAATATTAGTAGCAAAAGAGAGTTACAGTCAGACAAGGTTTTTAGATTCCGAATATTAGGTATTAGTGGTGAAAAAAAATTTCGGTCAGACAACACTTTTCTCTTATAGTATTAGTAGTAAATAACAGTTACTGTCAGACAGGTTGTGAAATTCTCATTTTTTATGTAGCAGTAGTAAAAATAAAATTTCGGTTAGACAAAATTTAAAAAAATTCTTAACGTTTTATTAGTAGTAGTAAAAATAGGTTTTAGTCAGACGAAACGCAAAATATGCTTTTTTTATTATCAGTAGTAAAAGTGAGTTATAGTCAGACAGAATGATTTTTAATTCTAATTTATATATTAGTAGTGAAAGGAATTTTTGGTCAGATAAGCCTTTTTTTCTTGGCACAATATTAAGTAAAAATAATAAATAAGCAACAATAAAAGTAGTAAAAGTCAGTTTAAGTCAGACGAAACAAATTTTTCGCTATTATTTTAATATATTTTGTATTTATTGTATTGTATTATGTAAAATATAATAAATTTTTAAGAAAAATAATTTTTCTACTCTTTTTTTTGACATCCAATGATGGATCGCAATTACGACATTGAATAATTGTCTATTGTACTTTTTCATATAAACTTAACGTACGAGGAATTAGTCATGAGGGATATTATGTCACGACACGTGTTCAATAATTCCCAGATTTTACACAAGATTCTACACTTAATCAACTCTATGGCTGAGAAATAGAGAGAGAGGGGGGAGGGGGATGTACATATATATATATATATTTTCGACGCTGTATTTTCAATTCGATCAACGATGGAGGGTGATGCATGACTCTGAATATAAGAAGAGGCTTTACCTGCAGCACCATGTTCTGTAATACCAAGTGTAATAACGAACATAGAGTACCACCTGCTGCAAGATCAATTATTTATCGCTGGAGGGGTAATATATATATATATATATATATATATATATATATATATCGACCAGCTAAAACTCATATCGATTCCAATCACGAAACTCCCTTCCTCTCGGGCTAAATAAATAATTTTTTTCCTTCTGTTTACATTGTTACTCTATGCTAAAAAAAACAAGATTTTTTTTCTTTTTCATCTTGAAAAGAAAAGAGCCAGCAAAAAGAAAGGAATATTCTTTTTAGAAATGTGTTAAATTCTATTTTATTAAAGAAAATCTTTCAAATATAATAATAATTTCTTAAGGTTTAAATGCAAGAAGCTCAGTTATGACAATGAAAATTTAATGCTTACTCGCTAGGTGGAGTTAGGGTTCCAAAATTAACATGAATAATAATCCCAAGTGACGTTGAAAATTTATTAGTCTTGGGAGGGGGACATGTCAGATACTAAGGGAATAAATTTCATTATTAGATAATAGCGCAAATACAAAGTAAATAATTTTTTTTTTGCGATGAAAGAATAAGAAATTATTGCAAAAATTAAAATATAGCAAAGAATAAAAATATAATAATTTGAACGCGACTAAAAGTAATAAAGTAATTTCAGTACCACCAAAGTATAATAAAGTCATAACATCTTGCACATATATATATATATATATATATATATATACAAGTTACACGGTTGATATCCTCTCGAGAGACGTTATCAGTAAAAAATAAAAAAAAAATTAAAGAAGTATTACTGTTAATATCTGAAAAGTATAAATTCAAGTGCGAGTGACTTTGCATGCAAAAGTTTTATGCTTTCCTTAATAACAGAGAAACACAACGTTTTATGATGCTTGGCGTGCAAGTCGGTCCCACGCCCCATCATAATACGACACACGATCATGATCACAATATGGACTGGTTAACTTGCCCGACCGATCAATACAGAATTAAGCTATTAAATAGTCAAGCTATGATATGCAACCGGCGATAAAATATATATATACAAGCGACTCAAATTTTAGAAAATGATAAAATATCTATATCAGTGCTAACGTATTCCCCAACCAAGAAAATTCCTCTACTATTACTATTTGTGATAAATTGATTTTAAAAAGAAAAAATTTAATTTAGAAAAAAAATTAAATAGCAAAAAATTAATTAAAAATTAATAAAAAAATTACAAAAATGGGTAATTTAAGTAGTATAGGTACCCGATTGTCAGACACTCGAGATTTATTAATTTTTCAAAATTTCTATATACTGAAAAATGTTTATTAAAGTAGAGGAAATTTAATAAAAATAAAGTTAACGAAATTCGATGGTAAATATGAAACATATGAAAATTTAAGTAGTACAAGTACGTTATGATCGGACGTACAAATTTAATAATTCAATTCACGAATTGAGATGATACGAAATAATAGAAATAAAAAAAATTAAAGTAAATTAAATTATTAGAACAATTTTTATTCATTAAAATATATGTTTAAAGAGAAAAAAAAATTAAATTAAGTTAGCGAAATGGGTGGTAAATGAAAGAAATGAAAATTTCAAGTAGTACGAGTACGTTATGGTCAGACGCACGAGATTTATTAGTTGCAGTAATTTTTCACCATTTTTAGTCACTACAATGCCTAAAAACACAGAAAAAAAATTAAATTAACGAAATTGGTGGTAAATGAAGAAAATAAAAATTTAAGTAGTACTAGTTAATTATTGTCAGACGTGCAAATTTTATTAATTTTGTTAATTTATGATTTTTCATTCAATGTTTTTAAAATTCATTGAAATGAATCGAAAAAACTTTCAATTCATTTCTTTTTTTTTAACAATGTAAATTAAATTCAACTAGAAATGAAGAAAAAAATAATAAGTAGTTCAAGCAGATTATGGTCAGACGCACGAAATTTATTATACTTTGGTTTAAAAAGTAAATTACTAAATTTTTAAAAATTTTATTACTTGTAATAATATAACAAAACAAATATTTTTCCCAATATAATTCAATTACACAAAAATTTAATCTACAGTCACGTTAAATTGTAAAAAAAAAAATTTTTTCCTTTTTTTTTTTTTTCTATAAATTTATCTTTATTGCTATGTGATAACAATTTTTTTTCGTCAGAATTAGGTATATGGAGCAGTAAATTAATCGATAAAAGGTAAACGAAATTGTTTATGTATGCTTGTGTGTTGCAAAAACAAAAACCCCTCTATATATATATATATATATATATTTGGGAATACATGACAGTCATATAGAGATTTTTTTCTGCCAATCCGATAGAATATAACACGGATATAAATTTCTGATTGAATCGAATGCAATGGATACTAAAAACTAGGAAACCTAACGGAAATCGATAACCGTTAAGGTTTATTCTATGCCATTACTAGGTTTATTGCTTTTGAAAACTGAAAAGACCGTGGATTTTTGTTATACTCTCTTCAATATATAGTATATAATAATATCGATGTCATTTTATTGTTTTGTATCTTTTTTAATCATAACATTTTTTTTTTCCTTTGTAAATCAACACTTTCATAAAGGCTTTAACTAAGATTATTAATCACTACAAAAGGATTATTAAAAATATTTATATGAATCAAAAATTTATTTGATTCAAATAATACGGTTACTTGATTATTATTATATTCATATAAATATTTGGCCAAATAAATATTTATCCAATTAAATATTTACCCAAATAATTATTTTATCAAATAATTATTTACCCAAATAAATATTAAAAAAAAATATTTATTCAAATGAATATTTATCCAATTAAATATTTACCCAAATAATTATTTTATCAAATAATTATTCACCCAAATAAATATTATAAAAAAAATTTATCCAAATTAATATTTATCCAAATTAATATTTGTCCAAATTAATATTTACCCAAATTAATATTTGTCCAAATTAATATTTACCCAAATTAATAATTATCCAAATTAATATTTATCCAAATTATAATATTTATAGAAAGTAATATTTATCCAAATTAATATTTATCCAAATAAATATTTAACCAAATGAATATTTACCTTAATAAATATTTATCCAAATAAATATTTATTTGTACCAAATAAATATTATTTGAGTCATCAATTTTTATCTATTTTAAATACATGGAAATTATTGATTATTTGATCCAAATAAATATATATTTGAACCAAATAATAATACCATTTTTTTTGAATGATCGAACATTTATATAAATATACATTCACTTTATAAAAATTTCAAAAAAAAAAATATAAAAAAGAAAAATGAATAAAAAAAAGTGATTTTTAATTAATTAATTAAAGCTTTCTCTCTTTTTTTTTGTGTTGACAGATGTCGAGGCAATAAATATAACAACAGTGAATATTCCAAAAGTGGTGAAAGCTGGTACCGATCAGCATGTTGTGCTTGATTGTGTCTACAATATGGGTAATTCACCAAAAACAGGCCTTGTAATTAAATGGTTTGTTAATCAAGATTTATTGTATCAATGGATTCACGGTAACATGCCAACTGGTTCGGATGAATTTCAAAAATATATTGACGATTCATATAAGGCGAGCACCGACCCAGATACAATGTACCGTGCTGTCAAGTTAGTTCGTCCGGGACACGAGCTTTCCGGTAACGTGAGATGTGTCATCTCTACGCAATACGATGAGGCTGATGCCAGCAGGAAAATGCTGGTTTACTGTGAGTATCCTATGTCACTCAAAAAGGAAAATGATATCTCAACTCCTATATATATCGTAAAGTCTATTTATATAATACATGAAATTATAATTTATCATTTTTTAATTATTTACCTCTCAAAAAATTTTCTATTATTATATTTTCTATTTTTTTTCGTCTATGAAATCTTATTGTTTATTTTTTTCAGCTATTTGCAATTTTGGAAAAAAAATTTTATTTTAAAAATTCTATAAAATAAAAATTTATGCTCATAAAAATTTGAAAATTAAATTTTGACAATTTAAAATTTTGATACAAACAAAATTTTTATTTATCTCAAATAAAGGGGAAATAAAATATTTCTCTGAATGAAGAAAAAAAAATATATTTCTGATTAAAATAACATTTTTGATAGAAAGTAAAAAAATAAAAATAAATATGATTTTTCATAAAATATAATGAAATTGGTGTTAGACTGTAACGAGTCATTTATGAGGCTTTATTTGTTCTTCGTAAACTTTGTGGCAAATGCATAACACAAACGGAAGTTCAAAGCTCGTATATATTCGCCATAGAGGCACTCGACAGGACTCTCGGTGGTTTCGTCCACCAGTAGGACATTCATCTCGCCTGTACTCGTGGTATAAATGCATATATATATGTATATTCCACTATATACCTAAATTGATTGACGGATGCAAAATATCACCCTGCAAAGTGAATGCCCACATCTGTCGTCTACAGCTTTCCTTTAATGTCAGTATTACATCACCCTAAATTTAAAAGAATTGTTTTTTTAACCTAAAAGTTTCTTTTTTTTTATTCTTTATAGTTAAAAATTTAATAATTTATCAAAAAAAAAAAAAAAAAATTAAACAAAAATTGTAAATGAAAATAGAGAAAAATTGTTGAGATAATTTTAGGACAATTTTTTTTTTTATAAAATAAGTTGAGATATCATGGTAAGAATTCATATTGATTATTATTATAAGTAGAGAAGGAACGTTCGTGGTCAGACGCGATTGATTTTTTTTGTTCTAACCAAAAAGAAACAGATCGCGTAGAAAGTCAATTTAAGTAGTAAAGATATGTCACTGTCAGACATGCAGGGTTTTTTTACCTAAACTAATATTTCAGTGGAAACATTCTACTTAATTTAAGTAGTGCAGGTACGTTATTGTCAGGCGCACGAAATTTATTAGTTTGCATAATTTTTCAAGGAAATTTTCATTCGACGATTATCTATATATTCTGGTAAAATAGATAAAAATTTATAAAAAAACGAAATTAACTCTAACCAAATAATTTGTATCTAAAATAATTTTTATTTGCAATAATTTTTATTTGAAATAATTTTGTTTTTGATACAAATACAATTCAATTGACTCAAATAATAATTGTTTGATACAAATAAATATTTTTTTAATAATAAAGTAACGGATTGTTTGAATCAAATAATTTTTTTTTCAATGTAGAACATTATAAGTAGTACAAATACGCAATTGTCAGACAGATTTTTATTTATTTTCGGTTTTAAAAAATGATAAAAAATTAATTGAATAAACGAAATTGATGTAACAATAAAAAATCTGCGTTTAATAAAAAAGAGAAAAAAAATTAATTAAAATTATTTAATCAGATTGAATTAATGAAAGTGAAAAAAAGATACGTAGTATAGATAAAAAATTGTCAGACGCGTGATATTAAAATAATTTCATGAAGTTTTATTTACTTTTACTATTTTATTTATTAGTATTATTTTATTTAATTTATTTAACAAAGTAAATAAAATATTAAAAAAATGAAATGGCGTAAACTGAAACAAAGTTGTCTGTAAGCTATAAAAAATTTAAGTAGTACAGACAAGTTATAGTCAGACGAGCGATCTTTATCAGTTAGGATAATCAAAATTTTTACTCACTCAATATTTAGTCAATAAAATCAGATGAAAAATTAAAAAAATTAAACAATTAAAAAAAATTAAGTAGCACAAGTAAGTTATGGTCAGACAGAAGAGTTTTATTTTTTTCAGTTCGCGGTTATTTTTGAAAATAAACTTCGTTCAATGATTTTTATCACATTTTATTATTTTTATCACATTTTATTATTTTTATCACTGTCGGGAGAAATTATTTGAAGGTCGCAAATTTATCATATTTTATTTATTTTTACTTTTTAACCCTTTTTATGAAGAAAGCATTATTTATGAATAAATGTAGAAATATTGGATTTCTCTGGCAATAGAGCCATACATCGCAAGCATATATATATATATATATATATATATATATATATATATATATATATATATATATATATATATATATATATATATAGTATATATATATATATATATATAGTAACGTGAATATTAATCTGTGCACCAATTGAGCAAAAGCACTCGAATAATTTCATATAGAAATGCACTACTATTAATTTGATGAAATGTGTACAAAATGTCAACATACTCAATATTATTATCAAAATCAATAAAAAATACATCAAAATCATTAAACCCAAAATTTCAAATGAAAATGATAAATTAATTTTTCATAAATTAAACACTATATTAAATCCTTAAAAAAATATTTGTAATTGAAAAATTATGTAATTTTTCTAAGTGACAATTATTTCGCTAATTGTTCAATTGTTTAATTAATTTATGTATTTAAATAGCAAAATTTTTTTTAGCAGTAAATTGTTAATTAACTTTAGTTGCGTTCTTCTAAAAAAAAAAGAGAGAGAGAGATATCAAAGTGGTCATATATTTTTTGTCAACATAAAAATAGATAGCAAAAGATCGAATTCTCTTTGTGAGGTGAAAAATTAACCTATTAATATTAACAATGTACATTTACTGGTTTTTGTGGGAAAATAAAGTATAAAATAAAATTTCCAATATATATATCGACCTCGAGACTCAATATTTTTCTAAGTTTAATTTCTGAACATTGAAAATAATGCGAACGAATGTAGTCTATTCTCGAAAGTCAATTTCACATTTTCATAAATTGTATTCAAATTCTATTATATATATACTTTGGAAATAATATATTTTCCAAATAGAGGAAATTTAGAAAAAAACAAAAAAATGTAGAATACTCTGTAATTTTATTCAATTACAATGATAAAAATAATATATACGAAAATTAAATTTAAAAATAGAAAATATTTTTAACAATCTATTTTTTTTTTTTTGTGGGAAATTTTATATAAAATGTTCTTAAAATTTTTTTTCAGCCCCAGAGAGAGTTTTACGATTATCACATTCGAGTATTAATCCAGAAACTAATGAAGTCATCGTTACCTGTATAGCAGAAGACATGTATCCTAAACCTATTATCATCATTCGACAAGACAAGTAAATTTACTTCATTTAATATTATTGCAATTCTAAAAAAAAATGAAAATTATTTTTTTTTCATATTTTTATTTATTATTAAATTAATTAATTAGTTTCATATTTTTAACTAGTTTTATGTAAAATTCATCGCATAACGAAAAATTATTTATTCCCCATTTTTTTCCCCCAGAAAATATTTCAAATATAAAAAAGTTAGAAAGAGAAAAGTCAAGTCTTTTATTACATTCCACAATCTCCGCTTTGATTTATTCAGACATTTAATATAAATCCTTTCGATTTATTGCCTTCTATAATACAAGTTTTAACAAAAAGTTTGTAAAAAAATTTTCCTGAGATTAAAAATTCATTCCCCGCACCAATCGATTATTATTATTAGGCGTGAATTGAAAGGATTATATTAACTTTAATTATCAAAATGAAATTTAATAAAGTGACTTAAAAGTATTAGCATGATAATTTTACCTCAATTAAGAAAATGTCATTCAAGACATGATCTTTAAAAGAAAAAAAAATATTAATTAAATTTTTTTCCCACAAATAATTGTAGAAGAAAAAAAAAGAAGAAGAAGAGGAAGAACGTATAATGATCTACACGATAAAAATGAAATAGTGGCATTTCTGTCCGCGGGGCTAAAAGTTGTCGCCTATGTAAAAATTGAATGCACTGTCCCATGAAAAATCAGCCTCTTAAACTTTTCCTAAGTTACATAAAAATACGAATTTCTCCTCTGGATGCATTTCTCATTCTTGTCTCTCCCTTTTTTCACTATATATCTATAAAGAATGAAGTTCATCCCTCGCGTTTCTCTCGTGTTATTACACTTTTTTTTTAACAAACTCTTTCAATCCCTAAATGTCATAAAATCGACTATTCTTTTTTTTTTGTTTCAGAGAGCCAATAGAAGATCTAAAAGTTCACTACAAAAATAATACAGATGGTAGAATCAATGTTGAAGCAGTTGGTGTTTTAGATATTCAAAAATTACAACTACCAATCATTTTACAATGTGAGGTCCTCATTCCGGAGGCAAATTATTCTTCCATTCAAGAATACATTTACAATGGTGATGAATATTAATGTCTATTCGATTTTATTCCACTAATGTATTATTCTTCTGTATTTAAATTTCTACTACTTACAATTTTTTTTTTTTTTTTTTAACTATAGAATTTAATTATTTTAATAATAATAATAATTATTTCTAATAATAATAATTATAAGAAAAAAGTCACAAATTAATTGAATTTTTATTTAATATCTTGGCTTCTGAATATAAAATATTGAAATGTATAAAAATATCAAAAAAAAATATTTTTAATTTAAAAAAAATTTTCTAAAGAAATTGGAAAATTTACTTAAAAATATAGTGTTCTCTTCGATATATAAATTATTTATCGTCAAGTTAATGAAAATAGAGTTGAAATTACAATGCTTATTGCAAATTGTTATAATTATCTAAATGTGAATAGATATTATTAATAACAGTGAAATTCAATAATTAATCGTTAATAATTGAATAATATTGGAAAAATAATAATTGACTTCAATGTACTTTTTTAGTGCAACGTCATTCTTAATTTTAAACTACTAATTAATCAATGGAATCAGTACATTATTAGTATTAATAAAACAAAATGCAATAATAATAATCTTTTGTTCTCTTTTTTTAATTTTTTAAACAAAATTTTAAATCTTTTGTTCTTTTTTTTAAACTTACTTCTTTTAACCAAAATATAATAGTTAATTATTTACTTAATGAAATATATATATAAGCTAAAGTAATTTTTGTTCTCTCATTTTTCAATTTTTTTAAACTAAATGTAAAATTTTTTTATTTTTAAATATTCTTCAATAAAATTTAGTTTTTTTGAAAATGTGAATAAAAAATGAAAAATTATTAGGATTTTTCGAAAGGGGGACGGAGGGAAAATGGCAATTTTCTTTTGAAAATTTCAGTTTGGCGCGTGATTTAGCGAACACTGAAAAATAAAGCAGTGGTAGGGTTTACCAGATCGTAAAAATGTCCGCAAAGTAAAACATGTTTCTGGAGTCAAAGCATAGTGCTTGCACGACCGGCGCCTGCCATACCACTTTCATCGCTACACAAGTGTATTTGTGTTGCGGTTTCCCCCACCCCCTCTCACAATGTATATGTGTTCCTAAATACATGCATCATATATATACATATGAAAAGTTCGATTGTTTTAAAACCTGGCACACATTTATACCTCTATTTCTATATCCAAAAGTTAATTACCAGTGTTTCTTGTTTCTAAAATACGCAATAATTTATAACGCCCCAACTATTATTTTCGCATACATATTTAGGTAAATTCTTAGGTTTTACTTTTTTTTATATTTTAACGGCTTATAAACAACGTTCAATTGTCGTTTTCCCTCCAATTTTTTTTTTTTTTTCTATGCTATAAATTTTTATGAGAAATAATTTCTCACTCGCTACCAACTTTATAAATTGCTGCAATTTCGCGCCAAACTGAGGCCTTATTAATGTTATAAAATAGTCGTGTTTTTTTTTCCTCTAATTTTTAGTGGCAGAAAAACGAAAGTCCCTTACTCATAAAATTGTTGTTTTTTTGATATTATATAATTTTAATTTCTTTCATTTTTTATTTTGTCTCGAATTATTGTTAAAACAATATTATTGTAATTAAAAAAAAAAAATATTATTAATTCAAAAAAGAAATTAAAAGAAGAAAATTTGTTTATTTTAAGAGAAAAAATGTACTTTAAAAAAAATAGTAAAATAATTTTTTCTTTCTCTTTGGCAACTTAAGTGAAAAAAGTAAAGTTTCAGTCAGGCGGATTATGATTTTCAAATGAATTGATTCAAGCAAAATTTACATTGTTTAATTCTTGAACTAAAATTGATTTGCATGTTAAATTTTAACTCTATATATATATGGGATAATTAAAAAAAAATTTTGATTTTCTCTAGCACAATATTTGATAAAGTGATAAACTTAAGGTAGTGCTTAATTTTGTGCTTAGGTTTTTTGTTCACATGTCCCGAAACATAGAACGATCCCATAGGTCATTAACCACAATGACGAAATGGAAACCCAAGGGAAATTAGCCTTCGCTGCTCTGTCCTTTAGTCAGAAGAATGTTGAGATACCGTAAAATGACATTAATTCAATTTTTTTTTTTTTGACGCAAAAAACTAAAAGAAAAAACTACACCGTTCACATGTTCCCATGGCGATTTACGATACTTTGCCTCAAATATTTGTTAAATGGAATTTAATTTACAGGGTGGCCTTGTATAACTTGAAAAAAAAGTATAATAGTGTAAATTTTTTTTTCCACAGTTATAATTACAAAAAAAATTATTTTAATATTTAATTTTTTTAGTAAATAATTTTTTTTGGGAAAAAAATAATTATTCTTACCTCTAGACTACAGGCGATGAATCGTTTTGGATAGATGAAAATCTGTTTGGAAAACACACGCGATTTAAAAAATTTCGAACACTCCCGAAACGACATTTACAAAAATTATTTTTTCCTAAAAATTTAAGCGATCGCGGTTTTAAGAATTTCGAACACTCCCGAAGCTAAACATTGCACAAAAAAAAAAATATATAACACTCCCGTTGATCATGTCTAAACAGGTCAAGACACGAATTGCAACTAATTGAATTGTCTTTGGGATTTTCCAATAACATTGTTTATGACCTCCGGCCAGGGCGTCCTTTGTACTTCAATATAAACATAAACCTCTAATTGCGCAGGTATATAATTCCTGGAATGTCCAACCTAAAAATTTAAAATCAAAATTATATTATATTTTTCATTTAAGAAATCATTTAAAAATAAAAGGAAGCAAAAAAAAAATTTTTCAAATAGTAATTTTTTTTTCTTTATCTTAAAAAGAGAATAAAACTAATTTTTTTCGTATCACTTTGTTTACAGGCGCTGCCGTTTCAAGGTCGTCATTTTTATTAATCATCATTGGTTATCTAGCCTCCAGGAGACAATAACATAAATTATTAAATTCTTAGTGTAAATTAATTATTTTCTTTTTTTTTTTTTTCTAAAAATTTTCTACTGGCAATAATTGTTTCGCATTTTTAAAAAGTTCTATTCTCATTTTCTTTTTCCTTAAATAAATTAAAAACACATTTTTTAAAATTAAAAAAATTAATTTAAAAAAAATTATAAAGAGAATTATTCGAATTATATAAATGTCTAAACGATTTTATATAAAGAAAATTTTTATTGCATAACTTTAAAAATTGTTACTAATATAAATATGTCAGTAATACTAACGTTGTCGTTTAAAAAGTGTTATTGAATTTTATTTGAAAAACAAAGAGGGAAAATAAAAGAAGAACAATGTTAAGAAAAATATATAAACAACATGTGCATGTCACAAATGCTTATGTATAACAATTTTTGCGCAAATCATTTATAATTTCCATGTGAATTCGTATAGCTTGCTTCTTTATTTTTTAATATTATATATGAAATTAAAATTCATTTTTATGATTTCGATAAAAAAAAAAAAGTGAAATCAAAACGCTAAAAAATTATTGAAATCATAAGTTTGAATATAAAATATATGATCAGTCAAAAGTGCCTAAGCTTATTGCCTAAGCCTAAACGGTGTAATTATCTATAATTGCAAAATTTTTCATAAGTCCGCACATTAAAATTATTTTGCAAAAAAATTCTTTTATCAAAATAATGCACAATTTTTTAAAGATATATAATCTAAATTAAAATTAATTTTAAAAACAAAAAAATTTTCTAATTTCTTAATTTTTTTTTTTCAAAACATGTTCCAACATTTTTTTAAAAATACAAAAACTTGTCAAATAATTTGTAAATAAATTTTTGATTTCATTGCAATATAAAATTTTTAACTCTATCGATGACATGCAGACAATATTAGACGAAAAAAAAAACATTGTAGTTTTATTAATGTTTAAAGTCATTAAAAAAAAATTAATTACTGCATATATTTTATATCATCGAATTTTTTAGTAAAAAAAATTTTTTTTTTTTCTATAGTCATTAAATTTTTAAAATAAACAGTTCCTTACGCATTTGTTGACGTTTTAATTAGCTATGCGTATAGACATTAAATTTTTAAAAATAGTCATTGTACAAAAAAAAAAATCGTAACTGTCTATAATTGTCCAAAAAAAAAGAACTGTCGATTTTTAATTAGGAACAATACATAGAAAACGAATCATAATTACGACGTGTATATAAAAAAATAAATAAATGGACACAATTTTAATATTATATTAAATATTTGTGAATGTATCGATGAATGAAAGAGAGAATGAATAATTGTTTGAATCATCTTGTTCTGGTGCAGGGTACATATACGTTTATAAAATAAAAAAGAAAATCTGCTAAATAAATGTTTAAGGCTTTCAAATTTCAGCTCTAAAGTGATTAAAAGGGTCAACCTGACATATATAAAAAAAAACAAAAGAATTATTAACAAAAAAATTTTTGATCGTGAGAAATGTATAATAAATAAACTGATGTGTAATTATATAGTGTTTAAGAGTGAGGTAAAAAAAAAAAGATTCAATATTATGTACCCTTTATTATAAAATAATGAATTTTGTTGTATAGAGTTCAATGGTGTTCTATTTATTTAAAGAGTAAATAAATTTATCCTGTTTATATAATAATAATTCACTTTTTTTTATTACTCAAAACCTTTTCCACATTATTCGGTTAAAAAAAAAAATTTATTTTTTTTTTTAACCGAATAAAATTAGTGAAAAAAAACATTTTAATATATAATTGAAATGTCTTTTTAAAATTGTAAAGCATAAAATTGGTTTTTATTCGCAAACGAAGATTTATTTTCCAGAGCGACTTTTATGGAGATTTAACGTTGAGTGCGTTGGAAAAAGAGAGAATTTAAGAAAAAAATTGAATTCTCAGTAGTGCGTAAAATAAAGCTTTTTATAATAATAAAAAAATTTTATATTATCTTTTTTTTCAAAATTTCGATTATTTTTTCTATGTATATAATCATCTTTTTTTTCATTTTAAATGTCAAAAGAATTATTATTATACCTCAAAGAAATAAAGGTAAAAAGAAATTTTTCTATTTTGAGAAAAAAAAAGAAAAGAAAAGCAAACAACAATTCGTCAGAATTTCATGAAACAATTTTCAACGAGCGTCAACAGAGTCATAAAAGTTCTATTCTCCACTTGAAGATTGCAACTCACGCGAATAATAATGGTCGCATATATATTTCTTTCAACTGCGCGTATTATAAAAGATTTAACTTGCTAGAAAATTATACTTTTAATTATTTCCAACTTGTATATCAAAAGAACACTAATTACAAAATAAATTATTATTATTTTTATTTTTATTGCGTATACATAAAGTAGAGACGCGAAAACTAACAGAACAGCTAAATTATTTTCTCATCAACATCAAAGAAAAACGAATTCATTGATTTATATTACAGTATGAGGAATTATATAATTCCTCTATAATTAATCATTTTTTTTTTCTTTTAATTTTAATTAACATGATTTGTAAACGAAATAATTTTTATTACACTTATTTTGTAATTTTTCTTTATGCTCTATTTATTTTTTTTTTTTAATTCATTTCAAATAATGTAATTTTAAAATAATTGTAAAAAAAAATTACTATTTTAAATAAATTATTTTGTATTAATTTTTATTAATATTTATTTAAAAATAAAATATTAATAATGTTGTTCCAATTTATTTTTTTGCTATTGAAATTTATAACAAAAAAAAAAAAAAAAAATTCTGAATAATTTATAAATTAGAAAAAAAAATTACCAAAGGGTGACAATAATTAACGAATTAAATATTATTATATTATATAGAAAATAGCTTGATGGCAGAAGATAATTTGACATTCTGCCCGCAAGCTATGTCGCAAGCTATTTAGCACAAGCGGTATTTTAACAGAGCAAGAGGCAATTTATAATGTTGTGCAAATATGCGGGAGGAATTTTAACATGTTAAATTCAGATCAAAATAATCAATTATTATTGCTCGTGATTTTTGTAAATATTGCCCTAGGATTGGAAAGTGACTTTTTCTAATTTTCATCTGAGTACAGCTCTCGTTTATTAAAAAAAAAATTAAAAAGTGCGCATTTAATTGCGCAAAATTCTTTGTAACTTGAAAGAATTTTAAATAAATCTTTATTGGTCTGTATAAATTAAATTTTTCTCTTCGAAATCGAAATAAATATTTGATAATAGTCAAGTGAACGATTATTTAAATCAAATAATTTTTTTTTTCATTTATATTTTTTGTAAATTTTTTTGTAATTTTTTAATAATTAAAATTTTTTTTTTATTTGCATGTATGCGAATAGGAAAAAAAATATATATATGTCAAAATGTTAATAAAGTTCGGTAGGGTAAAAGAAAATGAACTAAACATGTCGTACCGTTGGCAGTTGTCTGATTTGTAGTTATATGGCATGCTTGTTGAGTAGAAACTGCCTTCATGCGCCGACTATAAAATATTCTCAAGCTTTACTTTAAAGGGGATGCTCAGAATGCTGACTATAAATGAACCTACCTCGAAAAGTAAGAGAAGGTACATAGCAGCAGCAGCGTTGAAAATAATAAATATATAAATATAAAAAGCCCAACGTAATTCAAAGTAAAAAAAAAAAAATTCCAACTGCTGCAATAGACAATTTTTATCTCTTCTATTTTACCACAAAGACAATTTTAAATAAATCTTTAAAGAAATTATTTTTTAATTTTCAAAAAAAATTTTTTTTTTATTAGCGTTCCTTTTTCGACGATGATATATATATCTAATGACTTCTTTTTTAAAATAAAAATTGTCCAATCAAAAGGTACTTTTCTTTGAGTGAAAGATAGAGAGAGGGTGAGTTATAAAATTTCTTTAATTACACTGAGAAATTCTCAACTTTTTCAAATAACGACTAGAAATTCATTAAACATAAAAATTTAAAATAGTGTATTTTTTCTTAATGGTCTTTGAAGTAAAAAGTTAGATTATATTTTTTTATCTTTTCAAAAAAAAAGATGATTTTCCTTTTACGAAACAAATTTTATTTATATCTTATAAAAAACGGAAAAGAAATTGAAATAGAATTATTAAAAAGGAAGTTGATTATGTATTTCAATTTTCATTGATTCTCATTTTCAATTATATTTTCACTTTCACTGATTCTAATTCTCACTTTTCATTTTCACTTTCCATTCGATTTCCACTTATGCTAATTTCTATTCACTTTCACTTTTACTCTCTAAATCTGAATTAGTAAAAATGTTTACTAATTTACTTTTTGCTTCTGAATTAGTAAAATTTTACTAACAATTAGTAAAACTTAATTAACTTTACAGCAAAAAGTGAGTCACTAATTTAAATTCGTAATCATTTTGGGACGCATGATTATGTTCTAAAAATCATAAGTCATAATTTACATTTTATCGAATTTTATTTGTCCCGAGGGGGAATTTACTAGTTAAAAACGTGTACACTTGACTACCGGTATTACACCTCATATTACCCTTATTACTAAGTTATTACACGTTATTACAGAGTATTACACATTATTACAGAGATATTACAGATTTTTTTGCGTTATTACAGCACCGTAATAACGCATTATTACACGGTATTACACGTTATTACACAAGTATTACAGGAAGAGTGTACACTTGACTACCTGAGTAAATTCCCCCTCAATTTGTCCTAATTAGTTTTGAGCCGAATTTATATTTGTTCGAATTAGTATTTGGCATAATTTTCATCAATCCGATTTTCTATATTGCAAAATTTTTATATAACCGAAAATTCACTCCACAGAATTTTTATTTCTTCGAATTTTTATCAATCAAAAATTATTCATAAAATTGTGATTGGTTGATTTTAAAAATCGCCCCAAAATCTTTCTGTCGATTGTTTGTTCGGCCATTTGAAAATTCAGACAAATGAAAATTCTATCGATTAGAAATTCTATTAAATCATTTGTCGGTTAAGTAAAAATTCTGTAGTATGAAAAATCGATTATATGGAAATTATATCAAATAATAATTCGAACAAATGAAAATTCAGCTAAATTAAAATTCTTCTCAATGAAATTCTACCCAATAAAAATTATTTTTAAATGCCTATTATGTTAAATGAAAATTTGAGCAAATAAAAATTTTGACAAATAAAAATTCGAAGAAATAAAAATTCTGGAAATTGAATTTTCCGTTATATAAAAATTCTGCAATATAGAAAATCGGATTGATGAAAATTATGCCAAATGCTATTTTGAACAAATAAAAATTCGGCTCAAAACTAATTAGGACAAATAAAATTCGATAACATGTAAATTATGACTAATGATTTTTAGAACATAATCATGCGTCCCATCATTTTTACTAATTCAGATTTAGAGAGTACTGATTCTAATTTTCATTAATATTTTTACTGCCGTTAATTAAAAATAAAAGTGAAAATATGAATGAAAATTAGAAACAGCGAAAGTGAAATTAGAATCAAATGGAGGTGAAACAAAAAATAGATGTACATAATCGATACCTAGGGATAAATATAATAAGAAAAAAAATAATGATTCCTGTTTGAAATAAATAAATACGAAAAAAAATTGTATTTTTCTCTCTCTCTCTCTCTCTCTTTGTGTCTCTAAACAATATCGAAACACATTTTCATTAAAAGCACACACATTCTTTTGATCATTGGACACATGGAATTAGCAGTATCTTATCCTACGTATAATAGCGTCTTATACTATGTAAATTTATATACTATGTAGCTTCGCAATTCTCATCGCAGTGAAATTACCCTGTCAGATAAATTGGCGAAAAGGTGTTTAAATTAAAGAGCCCAGGATGTTTACAGTATGGGTCAACCCTCTCTCTCTCTCTCTCTCTCTCTCTCTCTCTCTCTCTCTCTCTCTCTGAGCAAATTGTTCTCATTCCTATTATCTTTGCTGGATGAATAAACCTGCCAAGGAATTGCGTTGGCTTAAACCTTCTTTCAAGGAAAAAGAGAGTGAGAGAGAGAGAAAATAAATGAGAGAGAAAGAAACAATTGTCAGCAAAGAGAAATTGTCAAATGTAATTTTCGGTATAATCGTTGACGATTATCGGTTGTGCTTAGGTCGCGCAGCATAACTGATAGCACACAGCACGCGTGACAAGATTGCCAGGAATTAATGCCTTTAGTGATAAAGATCGGACGTTGAGGTTTATCTATGTATTTCCTAGTCCCAAGCTGCCTTACCCCCCTTCATCCCTTTGCACATGATGCTCAGTGAAGATTGCATGCATACCTCGCATAAAGTCATAGAATGAATGTGAGCCAACCATATAAGTAAGATCAGTGCGGTACTTTAATTAATGAGTATTTCTCTCATTCCTATATCTTCTTCTCTTCGTCTATTAAAAGATCAGTTAAAAGGCATATATGAAAGAGAGAGAGAGAGAGAGAGAGAGAAAAGATTCGTTATACCTAATGTCCGACTAAATGTGTGAGCTTTTAGATTTGCAAACCGTGTAATCCTCTCCTCATTCCTGTTCACGTGAGTGACTGGTTAAGGTTTAACCGCAAGGGATAATGATTTCAAAGCTGCACTTTAATGTCTTCATTACCACACACCACCAATGCGATGAGTGAAATTACGAATTTATGC